GCTCTGGCCAAGTTCACTAGTGGCCTCCATGTTGCTTGATCCAGTGGGCATTTTGCAGTCTTCATCCTTCCTGACATCTCAGTCCTACTGACCACACCCTTCTTTGTGAAACACCTTCTTCCTTTGGATTTCCACAGTGACACCACCCTCTCGTGATTGCACTCCTACTCCTCTGACCACTCACTTGCTCTGTCTCTAAAACCCTCATTTACTTAGCCTTTAAAATGTTGGGGTTCCTTAATCCTTGAATGTAGCCCCTCTTCCTTTCTTACTTTATCTATTCTCTCCAGGCCACCTTGTTCAGATGCATGATTTCAACTGCCTAATATAATGGAGACAAGTTAAAAATGCTATAGGAGTGTTCAGAGGTGTGCATGACTAAGGCACAACCAAGGTTGCTTGACTTGGGTCATTGCTACTCAAAAGGCATAACCAAGGTTGCTTGACCTGGGTCATTGCTACCCAAATGATAAGTGTAACCTTGGGTGGATAACAAAGCCCAAGGAAAGTTTATGTAGAGGCAGAAAAGAGAATCCCAGCTGGAACTCTGGGAAAAACTATTCATTGGGTTGGAAGATGAATAAGCACTAACAAATAAAAGTAAGTGCTGTTATCATGTGTCACAATTACCATTATTCTATAAGTTAAGTGCTTGTCCATACATTTCAAGACCTGTATTCATTACCTATGCATTAACTTTTTATTAGCATGTCCTAAATTCCACCATTGCCTTTGTCCAAAATACTCATGCCTACCTTCCATTCAGCATACCACCACGCTTTGGTTCATCAATTCAAACCATCATCAGTCATTTTTATTGACTGCCTTTAGGATGTATGGTGATGTTTAAAGGACTGTAATCGATCTCTATCCTCAGAGATTCTGATGGAGTATTGCAATAATCCTACTACTTATTGTTGTCAGCTTTTCCATCAGCATCAATCAGAAAAGACACAAAGGAGCCATATGTTTATCAATTATTTTATCAAGGGAACAAGTATAGTAACATTACTTTCAAATGATCAACAATCATTACTGCATGAAACTAAAAAGGGTATGTTCTACTTATTAAAAATCCACAATATAGCCAACTCTCATGTATAAACAAGGCAGTTATCTACAATGTATCTCATGGTAATCCTGCTGTTAAGCTTATTGATCTGCTCTAATGAATTACCTGCTTTGTTGACATCTGTACTCTTCAAAGTTAACCACATGTTTCCTTGATAACCATTCTCTCTATTTCCATTTATTTGCAGACTGTCTGCAGTGACAATCCAGTATAAAGGTGATAACACTCACTTTGGGACCAGAAGGCCCAGGTCCAAGCTTTGACTTGTAATTCATTCAATCATGCACAAAATCTCACTTTCCTCATCTCTGTATCTGTGTGAATAATCCTATACCTCTTCCTCACCTTCCCCCAAAAGGCAGGTGGTGAGAGTATTACTATTAGGAAAAGCTTTGGAAACCCAAACACAGGCATTACGCTTGCTCACTGGAAAATTTAAGACTCATCTGTTCTCAGTAGCTTTATGGAGGGGACTGCAGGAAACTGCCTCATCAAACAACAATCAATTCATTACAAGTATATTTGCAGAATATTAGACACACCTAGTTTCAGGTCTAAACTTGAAGATGCTTTCCACCAAATTAGATGCTCAGAATTGCCCTGGGAGATAAGGAGGGAAGGGCCTATTTTTCCCATCTTGCAAATGAGAAAAAGGGAGCTCAAGGTTTAGCCAACTGACCAAGAGCACACAGTAAGAACATGGCCAAACTAGGACTTAATCTTTCAAATTTTCTAATTCCTAGTTGCACACCCTTCTTTAACAAAAAGGAATAAAGCAGTGTGTAAATCCCTTCTCAGGGCAAGGCATGACAATTTAATAGCCAGAGAAAGTTAACGTACTTCCAAAAAGTTTCATTTCTCTCCTACTTATACTGAAGAGTCAGGTTTATTCAAAATCCTCACAAATTGTTTTATAACAATCAGAAGAAGGCTCATTAAACTTTCTTTACACAACAAAAATAATAAGACTTAGTTAGCGTTCAGGTATAACTTCATACTCTGTAGATACTGACAATAAGCAACTAAGAATGTATTATAATAGATTGTATGTATTAATGTATTATAATAGATGGCTATTATAATTATTTCACAACACAAAACACCTAGACAGGCTTCCTTTTTATTGGATAGAGATGTTTTAAAGATCAGTCTAACAACACCACTTTAAATGTGCAGTGCTCCGAGCCTTATTCTGGTGGAACGCGTTCCTAAAATCTTGCACATTTAATTTACAGTGAGCTTCCATAAATTGTTCTCCTTAGCCGTCTCACGTGACGGAGGTCGGCACACACGCTGAAGCTTAGCTGTAGACAGACACTATACCATGCGTTCTAGTCCTTTCCAGCATTCGACACAGAAGATTCCAAACTCTGACTAAACGTGGACAATCTCTTGGACCCAGTGAACTGAAAAGCTATCGACCCCGGTTTAAATCCTCAAGTTTTCAGGGAGAGAGAGTGATTCCAAAGCAGCTACTGTAGGAGTTTATCTGCATGGGTAAGATATTACACAGCCTGACACTACTGTGATGCTTGGAAGGCGAAGGATGGGTTTGAGACAAGAGGATTTTGTATGCGCAAAGGGGTATAGACCAAAGGAGACTCACGTGCAAGCTCTTCATACTTGACTTGCCAGATCCTGGCTGGGCTGCCCTAGTTGGTTTTTATGAGTGTTGAGTTCATTAATAAATGAAATGCAAGATCCAAGCCCACCTTTTTAATTATAAAGTGCTTCTCCCTCCCAACAATCAGACTTCTACTCATTTCAGGGCTGAAAAAAAAAATGTCATCATCATAATTCCTAGTAGCTTGCTTCTGTTTCCGCTTCAATAGATACCCTGTAAATGGGAAGTCACATAACAGCTTTGCATCCCATCAAGTTGCCTCCACACGAAAACAGCTGCAATGCTTATCTAATTAAACCCCAACGCCAAACTGTGAGCTTCTGCATCAATCATTAATATTGTATTTTGGGTCACTTTAAATTCTGACTGGGAGTACGTGGCTCCCCACACACTGGTCTCTGAAGGAGATTTTTCAAATAATCTTTAAGCGGCGTTGAAAAAATAAAACCAGCCACCTGCTGTTTGATGAGAGCTCCACTACCCTGTTGCACCCTGATTAGCTGTTAATACTAATTGAGAGATGACTATTGCTTATTCCAAAATGTGAAATATTTTTTTATTATTATTATGAAAAGGAAAATGCTGTTCTTCTTGCCTCGAAAACGTGGCTCCTTGCCCAAATTTTAAACAGCACCAACAGAATAGTGATTTCTGGGTCTCTCTTCTATAGTCTACAGGGCCATTATACTGAATCACTTCTTTTCTCTGGGGGGCCATCCACAAGTTAGTGAGCTGTGATCTCTACGTGAGATTTGCACATGCATACCCTACATCTGGAACATGTAAATGCTCTTCACAGAGATCTGATGGCCCAGAAATACTTACGTGAATTTCTGTCCTGCTAAGGCACACGTTGATGAACTTGGGTTCAAGCTCATAAACCAAGAGGCGCAGTCTCCTACATCGCCATTCTAACAGACTAAAGCCAACAGGCCAGGCCAGATAGGACAACTTAGACAAAGAGAGACGGGCAAAAACCAAGTGAATGTCTGCTTCCTTCTAGCATTCTAGGAAAAGTACCAAGCAGCTGTGCCAAAGCATACTGCTCTTCTTTGTTAGGAAAAATACTTTGACCTACTCGAAATCAGGGGACGCAGTCACCTGGTTTAGTAAATATATATGCAAGACAGGCTTCCTCATGAGGAGCAACTGACTGCAGAAACACAACACGCACCTAGCTCGGCATAAATACAGCTTAAAAAATTATAGGGCAGGGCTTCCCTGGTGGCGCAGTGATTGAGAGTCCGCCTGCCGATGCAGGGGACACGGGTTCGTGCCCCGGTCTAGAAGGATCCCACATGCCGCGGAGGGGCTGGGCCCGTGAGCCATGGCCGCTGAGCCTGCGCGTCCAGAGCCTGTGCTCCGCAATGGGAGAGGCCGCAACGGTTAGAAGCCCACGTACCACAAAAAAAAAAAAAAAAACAAATTATAGGGCAGTAGGATGAAGTGTGGGAACCATGAGGTTCTCATTCCCAAAAGCCGAGAACGACTGGACCTTTGCCAGGGTACTGCCTGGCAGTCAACCACATCTGCTACAGAGTGATGGGGAGTCTCAGGGAATACAAATAAGGGAAAGAGTATGATTCAAGACTAGCAAAAATAGAAGGAAAAGACAGAGGTCTTAGGGTGGCTTATTACAGAGAAGAGAAGGCTAAAAGATTTAGGAACAGTTTGAAAGCCCATATGAAAGACCTTCATGAAGGGAGTAATCAGAGGTATCTCCCAAGTCTGTTGAAGATTTGGGTGTAGGGGTTAGGACTGTCAATTTAACTAAGCTGAAACTACATCTCCCAGAATTCATTTGCGTGCGTGCGTGCGTGCGTGCGTGCGTGCGTGCGTGCGTGCGTGTGTGTGTGTGTGTGGCTGCAGATTAGGAAGATGGAAGTGAAGTAGCAGCCATGCTACTGTTCAGGATTTGACGGTCAGAGCAGGCCTGGAAGGAGGCTCTGTCGCAGCCCCTGACATGGCTGTTGACCTGCCTGCTTACCTTGTTGGCCTGAAGCAACTCTAGCTCCTGCTAAACCCGCTCTGTGGTTCTGAGGCCAGGAGAGTTTCTAGGTCACTGCTGCTCCTGGCAGACACCGCCACCACCAAAGTAGGGGCTTAGAAGGCTGTCAGAGGCCACAGATCCCAGCCACGACCCGTGGCTCCCAGCTGATCCTTCTTTCCCCACTTCCCAACCGTCTCCCTCCCAGCCCCTAATCCCACCTACCCTCCTACGAGTGGCATCACCTTGGCCACGCTCAGAAAGAAGAGTACTTTTCTCTGGCCCGTAATGGTTTAACTACATCTTAGATAACTTACCGTGCAGCTCTGTAGGGATTGGGGTTGGGAATCTGTCTACAGTACTTCGTGAGTCATAAACAGTCTGATCCAGAGACCTCATGTTTGCTTCCTGTAAGAATATACATAATTGTTTCAGACTAACCTATTAAGTTGTAAAGCAGGGTGAAATCTCACACGCATCTCAGTTTCACACCTAACACTGTTTACACAGATCCCCATCATGTCCACATCCTGAACCCATTCTTTGATAATGAGACAAACCAGCAGAGCAATCCCCCCTTCCCTGATTCCTCTATTTCCTAAGCAAGGCAAAACAAGAATGTGCCAGATTCTCTGCTTCTACTAGAATGAACCCTCAGAGGTGACTGGGAAATGGAAGACTCCATCAGTTATACTCTTCCTCCTCCGTGTCATTTCTACAATCCACACGAGGAAAGAATTCTGTGTCCTTCTTCCAGAAGACTCTTCTTCAGTAACATCACTCCTCACTAAGTGTTCTGCATCAATGCAGATTCTGAATCCAGCTTCATCACCTGTCAGCTCAGGAACCTTGAGCGACTCATTTCTGAGCCCCAGTTTCCTCACATGAAAATATGAGAGAATGTTACTTGCTCTGCCCACCTTACAGGGTGGGAGCATCAAAGGAAATTGAGTCTGTGCCCATGGTTCATAAATGTAAAGGGCTCTAGGGCCCAGCTCACTCCAGTTACTGAAAAAGATCTTGATTTAGTTAAGCAATAAATTGGGAGTCTCTACCTGATTATCATGGTATACCCGGGGCCTGCATACCAAGGGTGAGCCTCTCAGCTCTGACAGACCCTGCCCTTTTGCATCCCCATTTCAAGAGTCCATTTATTTCCCTGCCTTGTACTCTAGTTTTTTCCCACTGTAGGATAGAACCTAACCTTCAATCTCAACTAGTATGACTAGGGCCTAACCCTACTAGTTTTCCTTCAGTCTTTCTCTAGAGGACTGGATTCTGCTCCCAATATCCCCTACCTACTGGATGTGCTCTTTTCTATGAGATGACAAATTATCCAAAATCATAATATCACACACCCACCTTTCATTTTGCTGTCTGGCCTATCTCCTTTATGGTTGGGTGCCCTGCTGCTGAACTGGAACCCCACCATCTCTTCTGATATCAAAAGTTGATAACTGCTTCTGATTTGGAAAGTTGTACTTGACTCCCAGTTGAGCACTGCGTCTTGGAGCACCCAACTGTCCTTCATGGGCCAGCATTAGAGGTAATGTCCTTTCTCACTTTCCATCCATGCATCAATTACTCTAATGGCCTTGTTCTTTACCTGTCCCACTATCCTCACCTTTTAGTGGACAGGGTATATAATTCCTTACCCCTGGACTGGCCATGTAACTTACTTTGGCCAGTGGTTGTTAGCCAGTGTAACACAGAATCCTGAAAAGCACTTGCACATTGGTGTTCGCTTGCTCTTGGACATAGCCATGACCGTGCGAACACAACCAGGCTAGCCTACTGGAGGGCGAGAGGCATATGGATCAGGGCTAAGTTGCTCCAGTGATCAGCCAAGGCTGTCCTAGAACAACTAACAGCCAATCAACCTCCAAATACACAAGCTCACCCAAAAACAGTAGCATAGGTACTAAACACTTTATTTTAAGCCATAAAGTTTGGAGCTGCTGGATAGGTAGCACTACTGCGGCAATAAATAACTGATTCAGAAGTCGGTACACAGAGTGAGGTGTTGCTATAACAAAAACCTACAGTATATGGCATTGGCTTTGTGACCAGGTGGTAGGTTTAGCCTAGAAAAATGGAAATGAAACTCTTGTAGGAACCTGGAAAAAAGAAAGAAAACTTTATAAAAGGATGGAAAATTGGTGACTCATGCTATCATAGTGGCAAACTGTAAAATGGAAGATAGAAAATGTTCCTGATGAAACACTGGACTTTGGCAATGAAATTTCAAGGCAGAATATTGAAAGTGTCAGTTGGCTCTAGCTAGCTGGGTATAACAAAGTATTACAAGAAAAAGATGAACTCAGAAAATAACCAGACAACTTGCAAGTTGAATTCAGCATGTAGAGATGCCATTCTCTGCTAATTTGGAAACTAAAACTGTTTTTCATCTCCAGCCTTTTAAGCCAATAAAATATTCTCAAGTTAAGACATGGCCATGGGTACAGACCAAATTATGGGTGTACCCATGAGACCTTTTGTTAAGACTTCTTAGAGCATTAAGGAGATGCCTTGTAGACCCACTAAGTTCAACAAAAGGGCTTTCAAGATTCTTAAGGACATTATCCCACAGCAATATAAAGAGCAGAAAACATCAGGGATTAAATAAAGACAGGGAAGCATGTTTCTAAAGATTGTGGGCTTTGGTATTTGACACATGGAGTACCTGAACTAAAAGGAACCAAAAGTGTTTAAAATGAAAAATAAAAAAAATTAAAAAGGCTTCTGCATACCCAACTTTCTACAAGAAGCAGGCTGAGAACATTGTTTAAAGGGTACCTCTTCCAGGGACTTCCCTCGTGGTCCAGTGGCTAAGACTCCATGCTCCCAATGCAGGGGGCCCGGGTTCAATCCCTGGTCAGGGAACTAGATCCCACATGCTGCAACTAAGAGTTCGCATGCCACAACTAAAGATCCCACATGCTGCAACTAAGACCCCAGACAGCCAAATAAATAAATAATTTTTTTTTTTTTTTTTAAAGGGTACATCGGGCTTCCCTGGTGGCGCAGTGGTTGAGAGTCCGCCTGCCGATGCAGGGGACACGGGTTGGTGCTCTGGTCTGGGAAGATCCCACATGCCGCGGAGCGGCTGGGCCCGTGAGCCACAGCCGCTAAGCCTGCGCGTCCGGAGCCTGTGCTCCACAACGGGAGAGGCCACAGCAGTGAGAGGCCCACGTACCGCAAAAAAAAAAAAAAAAAAAGGGTACATCTTCCACTCCCTCTCCAGCAGTGATCAAGGAGTAAAACTAAGAACATCTCAGAGGCCAGAGATAAGAGGAGTAGAGAACAATGCATTGGGGAACCACCCAGAGAAAGCAGAATCTAGGTCTAATCAAGGAACACTCCCCATTCCCGAGGCACATCTGGCCTTGCGACTTGCTTTGGCCAATGGGTATTAGCAGGTATATTGCAAGTGAAGTCCTAAAAAGCACTCACGCTTTGGTGCTTGCTCACCCTTGCCCTCTGCCATCCTCATGAGAAGAGGCCTGGGCCAGTCTGATGGCAGGTAAGAGATGTAGGAGCAGACTGGAGCCAGCCCAGTCATCCCACCTGAACTCATTCCAGATCAGCTGACAGCTGGGCAACCATCCCAGAGGCACGAGCAGCAAATTCTAACTATGTTAAGCCTGGAGTCTGGGAGTGGTTTGTTGTGCAGCACAGTTCCGGAACAACCGGTACACCATTCCTCCGGGTCCCACTTGCCTTCCTCGCAGCCAGAGTCTCAATGTGCCTCTTACCTCTTACGCTCTCTTTATAATTTATTTTCATCAGGACCCTCACTTCTATCCTTAGTAATTTTGTTATAGATTTATGCATGCTTGATACAGAGTCCCACCCGTGCTACCTTCCTATCAATAGAGATGTTTTCTATAATCAAGGTACACCCCTCCCCACAGACTCTGTCTCGGCCACCACGTTCCAACCATGTGTCCATTCTTAGGTAACTGAAGACCTTGAGCATGTTGGTGAGACAATCTGTGTCTCATTTTCCTCATCTTTACAATGAGAATGCTGGAGGACACAATCTACACTTATTTAGGAGTCCCTTCGTATCATGTTAAATGTGTTTTTATATGTCATTCATTGTCCTAAAACAGGATGTGGTGGATGTTATTTCTATCTTACAGACGAGCAACTACGGGGTACAAAACTTTTCCAAAACTCCCAAAGTCATCTCTCAAGTGAGCAGCCAAATTAAAGTTGTCTTCGCCTTGCCGAAAGAAAAGAAAGAAAAAACCAGAAGTAGAACCAATAACAACAATGCCCCCCTCCACAAAAATAGAAAGAACTGCTAAGTGCTTCCATAGGAAGAAGCCCAAGCTTAATTTATTCTTCTCAGAATTAAGAATGATTTGTAATATTTGGCAGTAAGGACTATAATATGTTTGACGTTTAATAGACTTGGGAGATGTAATTAGGAACAGCCTTGCTTGGAAGTGACTGTTTTCTGTGAAACAGGAATTTTGCCTCTGGGCACTTTTTCTCCACTACTCATAACTAAACTCTGAAGTTGGCAAACAATTCCTTTACAAGTACTGCTCTTTTCCTTGCTGGTTAATTCAACACAAGCATTTATCGATTAGTGTCCACGTGCCAGGCACTGTGCACTCACTTTGCCAGGCATGCAGTTTAGAGCCAGACAGTCTGGTATCTGAGCTTTGAAGGCCAAGAATCAAACACTTATGTCTGGCATTTTCTAATTAAGTAAAACATTTCTATGTAATGCATGCAGGGTCTCAAAATACAACGCAACTGGTGACAAGCTGAGTGGTCTCACAGAGAAGTTGGCATGAGAGTCCCCTGAGACCAGATTAGTAGTAGAGGCAATGATTCCCAAGTCTAATTTTTTCCCTCCTGTGAGGCTGGGTGCCGAGCACGATGCCTGGCCTACAGCTGGCTCTTGTTTCTCCCACTTGCTATGCCTTGGAGTCTCCTAGGGAACTCTTTAAAAACAGAGGTGCCCAACAACCCTCTCCTCCCAGGAGATGCTCATCCAGTGGATGGGGGGGTGGGAGGAACTGGTCTGTAGTCTTTCAAGCCCTGCAGGTGATTCTTTACACAGTCAGGGATGAGAACCACTCAGTGTGAGCTCTATACATACTTTCAATGTATGAAAAATGGATGAGTAAATATTATTAAAGTAAATGGGTACCATACTTTTTAAAGCCATTTGGTACACTGCTGAGCACAAATTCTAAAGGCAAGAGAGGAACAGGAGAAAGTGTAGGATCAGTACTGTATGTAGCATTATATGTAGGGACAACAACATATATTATAATAGGGCAAAAATCTTACTAGAAGAGGGAAGTAACATGGAGTTTCTTAGGTTGAAAATGAGGACCCTTTTAACAGCAAAACATTTCTTAGGTAAAATAGTATTTATATTTTTA